CATATTATTTCACAAAACTAATGGGGATGTCTACTTTTCCCAGCAGAAAGATCCAAAAGATCTAGTTCCTGAGAGGATGTGTTTCCTGGTGTCCGATGTGATAGTGACACGGTGGAGAGAGCCTCCAATCCAAGTACAAAGGTTCAGGATTGAAAGCATCTTCCAGATACCACTGCGGAACTCATGGCAGTGAAATGTGGTTAGCCCTCAAATGTACGGAGTAAGGCCAAAGAGATTAATTTAACTTCTTAAGGTAAAAGCAAGACCAATGTTGCAATCTCTTCATATCTAAGACTCAATTCTCATTGACTGTGCAAATACAATTAACACATCAAAGATACACACCTAATTAGATCTTTGTAGGCAAATAAATTTCTTACCTAGTCCATTAAACATCCACAGGTAAAATTAATTTGAAGTTGAAAGCTGTGTCTACATGTATGAGACCACTATATTTAGACCCTTAAAATAAAAATAAAAAAACCCACAACGTAGGAAATTAATTGACTCAGAGTCTTAATGTGTTTAACTGAATGTTTCCATTAACTTATTCTTCATTAGCTGCTGAAGTAAACAACTGGTTTCTTTGCTTCATACTTTGAATTTCATGGCATCAACAAAATACAAGTCACAGCTTGGGGCTGTAGAGCTGTAATTAACTTATTAATTGTACTTTGTGCTACCCACCATACTCCCTGTCTTGGCCTCTTGCCAGCAAGCTCGTCAACTGATCATCTTTCTTTTTGCAATGGTATTTCTCAATGGGTAGAGCTTTGAACTGTCTTGATTCAAATTTTGGCTGTGCCACTCAGGTGTTTCCGCTTCTTAACCTATTTTCTCTACATATACCTCATGGAAGAATCAAGGAAGTCAATGGTTACAAATACTTGGGCCCCCTCCTGGCATGCAGTAACTGTTCATAGTGTGTAAGTGTTCAGCGCATGCGGGCGATTGTCATAATCAGCAGTATCACACCAGCATCTTATTGCTCTATATATTCTTTCTTTTCCATTCTCTCAAATAGAGGCTGCTGGGAGCCCACTTTTGCTGTCCTTGTTTCTATTTGAAGGAACTCCAGGTAGGTCAACCCTCCAGCTCCTCTCATCCCCTCTTCTCTCTTCCCTGGGGAAAGAATGGTTTCTTTCATTGGTGAGTCTAGGAGAACCTCCTTTGCCAATCTATGTGCAGACAACTTCTGCTTCGTCTCTCCCCTCCCATTAAAGCCAGGGACAGGTTAACATATCCGGTTATGGGACAAAATGTTAGCAGATTGTTTCATATCAAAAATCAAGCCCTAATCTCCTATCACTCTTACCAGTAAGAATGTTTCCAAGTCTATGAGACTGCTATGTCTAGTTCCACTTTGAGTTCAAACTCTGCAGGGAAGATTGCTGTGTACCCTAACCCCCTAGAGCCTTGGCATCAGCTTGCACCAAAATTCTTCTACATACTCAGCTCACTTTCTCAAATAGCATCTCTCGTCTAATAACACACCTGCGTGTCCACATTTGGAACTGGTATGTCCAGTTCTTCATACACTGTGCAAACTGAGTTTGTATCTTTTTCCCAACTAATCCTCTTTAGTCCCATACGTAATAACTTTTCCATTCATTTTGCCCCCCAAGCCAAAGGCCCAAACTTTCCTTACTCCCTCTCTTCTAGCCTCACATGTCCAATTTTATTCCTGTATTGTATTCTTCCTGTGGCCCCATTTACCTCTCTATGCCCTTATTTGGGACTCTTCTTATCTCCCACGCATAAGAATCTCCAGCACTTACATGATTTGACATGTAGCAGATGTTCAATAAATGCTTTTTAAATAATGGATACTTCTCAAGCTTTATTAGACTCTGTGATTATTACAGAAGATAATGAATGAGGTCAGATAAAGCAATTCAGAACGAAGTGAAAGGTGCTTGTACTTTATTTTTTTTAAGCTTACCATTTCTACTGGGCTGCAAAATGAAGCAGGAAAAGACCAATCAACATCCATTTTTCAAATATATTTTAATGCAACAAAAATGTGTAATTTTATTCTTAACAGAAAATGCAAAGGAAAGTCAATAATTGTGTTTTGCTACTTTATTTGAAAACTATGTGTTCCCTAAGCAAGCAAAGCATTATCTCCTTCCACAGCCATAGCTAACATTGACTTTACTAAATGTGAATAGTGCTGCTTGGAAAGCTGGTTTTATGTGAAACAAGTTTACATTTAATCAACTTGCACAATAGCTGTTGATTGCTTTTCCCTTGCTCTTAAGAATTTCACTATTACAAATACCCATAAATAATGTCACCTTGTCTTGGAATGTGGATTTGTAAAAAACACGTCATCCTGACACTAATCAAAACCACCGCTGCTGTCTCAGACTCAGGCAACCATGCTAACAGCCTGATATGGCTGTACATTATTAGGACAATGCCATTGCTTTTATCAATGCCAAAAAGTCAGCATTGAGTCATTTCATTTCTTTTTTTTAATTTTTCAAAATTGCTTAATTGTATTTTATTTGTATGGCTGTTTCGCCTTGCAGGAGCATCACATGCATGCAGTGCCCATGATCGCGAAAAGAGGAGATTGGATTTCGTGGAACTGGGTTACGGCTCTTCTCTATCATCATGTCGGTGCTGTTTACTAAGTCCAGTCCTCAGGAATGGTGAGGACTCACCTCATTGACGGGTAGGCAGGCAGTGTACAGAGGAACAGCCAATGAACACACTCCCAGTGGGGACAGAGGAATATGCCATACAAAGCTCTTGGATTCCTGGATTCCATGCCAAATCAGATCCTGGAGTTCTGACACTTGCAGTGGACATCCTTTGACAGTAGAGATTTGTGCTGTCAGCTGTAGAATGTAGTTCTGGCCTGCATTACAGGCACTTAGGAGGACAGCCAAGGCCTTCAAACTGGATTCCAAAGTACCTTCCAAACACTGTGAGGCCACATCCTCTATATCCACAGATGCAGGGCTGCTGAAGCTTTGTCACTCAGCCCCTCCTGCATCCACAAAGAGAGCTGATTATAGCTGACTTGCACACTATGGATGCATAAGCTGATGTAGATCTGATTGTGCCCCTGAGCAAGAATGACTTGTCAGTCTCCCTGCCTTTGTCTTCTTGATTATCCTGGGCTCGGCCACAGTACCAGCTCCTCGAGAACAGGTAGATTATGGTTGAATGATGCCTGGATTCAGCAATTAGTGAGGACCTTGCACACAACAGATGCTCAGTGAGTGTCTTCTTATTGTACGACATCATACATAGACCAAACATAAACTGGAGTGGAATCCTAGATTCGATCTTCACACTAATAATTATTCCTGGACACAGATCCCACGGAGGTACAGGGCCATTGGCCAGTTGGCTGCCCTCTGACAAACCAGAACGGCCATGATCCCAAGCTCACTGGGTCTCAGACGTTGAGAACTGAAATGCTGAGGGAGATTAATAAGGTAGTTGGCACCACCTTGAAAGCAGAGCTCACACTCCAAGGACACTTTAATCTGTGGGTCTAGGGGCTCCCCACAACACTGACACTTTCTCCGACACAGCTCCTTGCAAGGCTTCCTTCTAGATCACGAGGTGCTGTATGTTCACATGACTCTGAGGTCCATAGAACTTCATGCTGTGAAAGCCCAATTAGGCAGAATTGCATTTGGTTCAAGAAGTCTGTGGTCATTCCTTTCCTTCCTGCTGGAGTCTAGATGGAGACACATAAACAGTTCTGGCCAGTTACTGGAGGCTCAGGGGCTTCTGTCCAATCCGCCCAGAATCATTAACACTACTCATGTGTAAAAGCAGATGAGGAGCAAGGATAGAAGCCACTTTGCTCAGGCCGGGTCCAGATAATTCTCATACTTGCTTCATACCCAGTGAACCTGAGTGAACAGGTCCTGGGTAGCACTGGCCAAGCTCAACTCCAGAGGAATTCCAGAACCTGGCAGTGAAAACAATGACCTGTGTCAGTCTCTCCAATGGCACGTAATGGATGCATAAGATGATGTAGATCTGGTCGGGTACCTCAGTGAGGATGACCACCCAGGTCTGCAGCCAACAACCCTGAATTTCCAGGTAGCCAAATATCACCTACCCATAGCACATCACAAATAGAGACCAAGAAGGGCCAGGGTGTCTGGCCAGGATGTCTGCGGCAGCCATGAAGTGAGGAGGACCAGGATGCATATCGTGTAATTGTGGGTCCGGCTGAGGTCAGCACCACTGTGAAGCCTCATGGTCACCATGTCTGTGCCACATGTCAGAGTCCCAGCCGGAGATACATACGAAGCCTGGAAACAAATCATAAGGAAGTGCACTGACATTGGTCACTTGCCCTCTAACAAACCAGAGCAGCCATGTTCCCAGGATGATCAGGTCTCAGAGGTTGAGTTGAAAACCTGAACCTCGGTCCACCCTCTGACTTTGCTGTGAAAGCTCAAATACGCATAGGCATATTTGGTTCGAGTTGTCTGTGGACATATCTTCTCTGCCAGCATACTCCCAATGTAGACAGATGTTGCCCCGTTTGAAAAGCTCCTGGCTTCCTGTGGCTGGATGTTGCATCAGAGTATGGTGACACCTAGAACTCTGACACATTTCAAAACCATGTCCTTTGACAGCAGAGCTTCCTGCTGTCAGCTGATCATCCTGCATGGAGCCTGCGTTCCTCACATGCCTTCCCATGCGGCCTCCAGACTCTACCAGATCCAGGATTCACAGTCATAAGAGGGAAAGCTCATGGTTTCAAACGCTTGATGGAGATTTTTGGCAGTGGTGGCAGCAGAAGTTCCAAGTCTTGTCTCGTGGCAGCTAGAAAACCTGATACACCAAATCCTAAGAGTTGTCATTACAATCCTCCATTCAGGCTCGAGGCAGGATCAGGGCCTGCATGGCCTCCAAAATGAGTCCGAAGACATCCTGGACTGGAGTGTGACACCATAATACCTGAATCCCATGTATCCACAGGTGCTGAGCTGCTGGAGCTGTCACTCAGCACTTCTTGGGTCTTGAGTGGAAGATGGAATCCTAGGGACTGGTCTGCAGGTCATATGGCAACTGGATATCATGTCTGCCCTTGCCTGCTGGTCTTAGCATCCAGACATGGTCAGTGCCACACACTAGGCTCTCATGACTCATGGATCTCAGCATGCTCTGACTAACAGTTTAATTGTTTTGCTAACTGGCTCTCCTTCCAGTGGCATATAAAGGAGAGATCTTGTTGAACCTTTTCCGATTAGGTGTGGCCGGAAGGCAGCAACAGCATGTTCTAATACATGCCCTGATTTGGTCCCTCAGTCTTTTCCAAATGCTCCTGTTCTTAAGAGTGTTTTCCTCTGAGTGGGCAGCCTCAGGTTCACATGTGAAGGCATAATTCTCACTCCCGGGGCCGCAAAGGGCAACAAGAGGCAGGGAGGCACATCTGCCCACATTCTGCCCTGATGGTTTTGGATCGGTGGGCAGGTCCTTGTGTGAGGGGAGGGCAGGGGAGAGGCCACAGGCAGGGTGGCTTTTTGTTCTTCTGATGGGAGCAAAAAAGATGAAGGGATTTGCAGGCGATGGGGGAGGCGCAGGGCCAGGGTCAACAGGCTTTACTGGGATGCCATAGCCAATCCCGAGACCCAGGCGAGCCTGCTCCTTCAAGAGTAGGTATGCCGCCATGTGATCATCAAAGTTCTTATTCTTCATGGACTTACGCACTTGGTGTGGGTCATAACCATGATATCTGAGCACTCCTAAGATGATGGGGTCTAGGCCAGTCTCAGGTTTCAGGATGCTTTTGGGGTATTCCTCACGTGTGATGACCCATGGGTGCTTCTGGATGTCTTTAAGTGTGGGTCTCTTCCCTGGAATAACTGTCAGTAGTTGGTGTATCAGGTTTTCTAGCTGCGTAGAGACATGGCTTGGAACTTTGTAGGCACCTGTGAGGATGTTGGCCTGCAGCTCTTCCAGGGTGTTCCCTACAAAGGGTAGATGCCCGGTGGTCATGAAATAGAGAATCACCCCTAGACTCCAGACGTCAGTCTTTTTCCCATCATAGCCTTCCCCCAGAAAGAGTTCTGGCGCGTTGTAACTGTACGTGCCGTATCGCCTGTACAGTTTGGTCCCTGCTTTGCACTTTATCCCCAGCCCGAAGCCAATAACCTTGGCATTGCCTTGTTCATCGATGACAATATTCTGTGGCTTCAGGTCTCGATGCATAATTCCCCGGTCGTGACAGTATTTTATAGCCCCCACTATTTGTCCAAATATTTTTTTTGTCTTTTCTTCAGCCAGCCAGCCGTCCTCTTGGATGTGCTGCATTAAGTTTCTTCCCCGGACATATTCCGTTACGAAATAAAAATAGTCAGATGTACTGACTGTCTGAAATAGCCGGATTATGTGTGGATGATTTAAGGTCTTCAACAATTCCATCTCACATAAAATCGGTCGAAGATTTTTCTCAGTGTTTGGCAAGATTTTGATGGCCACCGGGGTGCCTGTGAGGTGGTGAAATGCCAGCCTCACAGAGCCAGAAGTGCCCTGGCCAAGGGGAAATGACACCGCATACTGGCTCTTCAGCTTTGAATTTATGGATGAGCTCTCTATGAAGCTAGGTGATCTTGGTTCCATGCTGTGCTAGAGGGCGTGGAGAATCCCCAAACACAACAACAAGAAGTGAAATTGGGAAATGACACTGCATACTGGCTCTTCACCTCTGAATTTATGGATGAGCTCTCTATGAAGCTAGGTGATCTTGGTTCCATGCTATGCTAGAGGTCGTGGAGAATCCCCAAACACAACAACAAGAAGTGAAATTACCAAATGATTGGTCCCGCAGGTCACAACATACAGCTTCCTGCTTGGTAGGGACAAGACTCCAGTCCAGTGCTACCCTTATATACATGGTCTTCATTCTTGCCTCACAATGGCTTCTTGTGAGGTCACGTGATGACTAATCCTGGGTGTCAACTTGACTGGATCTGGGATTAACTGAAGAGGTCTGAGGATAGTAGTGCAGGCTAGGAGAGTTAGCCGGTGGTGTAGGCCCAGGGAAGCAGAGAGAGGTGAGGGCGGGGTCAGGTCCAGAAGCAGTGCTCCTGGAGCCCAAGAAAGGGACTGAGTTGCTCTGGGTGAGAAGGATCAGGAAACAGTATTGGTTCCCCAGGTGTCTGGGGCCCCAAGACTAGGAAATAGAGTCATTTCATTTTTTGAACAGAACATCATGAGCATTTTCCACCAAACTCAATTAATCATATTTTTAATCATTGCCTTGTTAAAACATGCATGGCAGACTGTTCTAGGAAAAACAGCAGGTTACTCAGCTGGCTAATAAAACTCAATTGGTAAATTGCTGTGTTTACATCTTACCTGTATGGACACTGCAAGCAGACATTTCTGGATCCGTAGAAATGACTCAGAGGCTGAAAATGTCCAGGAACATTCATAGACAGCTCACCAAGAACCACAATGAGCTTCCTTTTTCCTCTTTGTAACTTGTAGGTTCTAAACAAGTTGTAGGAATTAGGGAAATCAGGTAGGAGACCATTTTCCCAGATGCAAACAGGACTATATTGTGCTGGTCAGGAGCCAGGGTAAGAGGAGACTGCCATGGTTCAGTAGACACAGTGTCCTTGATACCTATGCCTAAACTTGCAACCAAACCATTAAGTTCAATGAGCTTTGAACAAGGAATGCAACTCAGTAACTCCATGGCAGAGTACTTGTCTAGTATGCCTTCAACCATGGATTGTTTGATCCCCAGCAACACATGCACGCATGCAGACACACACACACACACACACACACACACACACACACATAGACACACACAGGCCAACACGCCAATCGACCTTGATCCTACATGTTCATCATGTATGCTTAGCTTTTAAGAAAAGTAAACATAATCTTTTCAGACAATGACAGTTCAAAGAACATCTAAATCTTGCTGACTCATAGTTTTTTCTTGCTAATTATATCTCCAAATTGAAAGAGTTCCCAGCTGACTTCTTATCTTCTCAGAGCTTTAAGTCAAGGCTATATATCATATACAAAGAAAACACTAGGGCACCAAAAGATTTCCATGATGATATCTGGATTAGAGAATAAAAAAAGAAGAAAATGGAGATATTCTATAAATTTATCAGGAGAGCACAACATAGAAATTGAAAAATGTGCATATAATGTGACAATGACTTTCTTTAATAAAATTATCAGGACTGGAGAGATGGCTCAGTGGTTAAGATCCCTGACTGCTCTTGCAGAGGACCTGGGTTCAGTTCCCAACACCCACATGACAGCTAACAACTGTTTATAACTCCAGTTCCAGGGGATCTGATGCCTTCTTCTGACCTCCATGGGCATTGCATGATACGACACTTATTTACGTACATGCACTTACATACATGTGGGCAATATACTCACAGATATAAAATAAAAATAATAAAGTTTAGAAAATAAAAGTAAAATAAAATTATTATAGAGCCTAGTGGGTGAATGATCATAGAATAAATGAGTCCTTTATTACTTAGAACTAAAATCATTTCTCAAATGCTTCAAAGTAGCTCATTTAAATGGTGCCTAATTTAAATGATTCTGGAGACAGCACGAACAAGGCAGATGAGAGTGAAACAATGGGTATTAAGTGGCCTCTAGGGTCAAGGAGAGAAGCGATTGGAGCTCTAGTTGGGGTGTAAGGAAATGCGTCTTTAAAGGAAAACATGTAACTTGAATTTGAAAATAAAGAGGCCCATAAAGGTAAATTTTCAGGAAATGTCTCCATGCATAGGAGGACTGAAATATGGCTTTTGAGTGAGTGTACTCTAAGTTTGTCAAACATGAGCAAAACAAGCCCCCTAACTGCCCTTGACCAAATGCTTAAGGATGTGGGGATGCCACCACCCATTGCATCCCTGGGGGACAGCATCTTTCCTGGGCCCTGCTCCCAGACCAGACCAGCCCTCAAATTCCTGAGGCTAGCATCAGTCCTGGAGGGATCCAGACCTTAGGAGAAAGCCTGAGAACATCTGCTCCTCATCCACTGTGGGAACTCCTTAGCAGCAAGACAAAAGCAAATTGGCCACTCCAATATAAAATCAAAAGAGAGAACCTGAAGCCTAGACCAATCAGCTTTTTATACCCAACAAGTAAACAACAAAAGCCATATAAAGTTTACAAAAAGAAGCAGACCTAAACTCCACAAAGGAAGGCTTGAGTCTCACACAAGAATCAGAATCTACAAGAAATCCACATGTCAAAGTCACAGAGAAATAAATAACAACATGAAAAATCAAAATAATATATTCCCACCAAGTACCATCAGTCCTCTAGAGGAGTACAATGAGAACCCCCTAGAGATAACATAGGACATGGAACTCAAAAGAACAATTATAAACATGACAAAACAATTCAGTGAATTTAAAGAACGAACAAATCAAAGAACTGAAGGAAGACAGTGAGAAACTTCTGATTGAATTCAGAAAAGAGCTAGAAATATTGAAAACTACTCAGGCTGAAATGAAGAAGGAAGTGAAACACTCAGTAAGCCAATTAGAAATGACGGGAGACAGCCTC